ATAACAGTTCATTTAACTTATTATTTGAATTTAATTTAATTTTTAAATAGCTAAGAGGGTTGCCAGCTAAAAAATTTTTTAAATGTTCATTATTTAATTTAATTCGGCATTTCAAACAGGTGACAACCCTTTACAAACTAAAACCTTATTAAACCTCTTTCGCCTGACACCCGTATTGTGATACATATTTCAATTACTTAACTCCCTTTATTTTTTATTTTTAAAACAGGTGGAAACTCTCCAAAAGTTTCAAAACCATTTCGATTGGTAACCATATTGTCATAAAGTTTATTTAACTTATTGAATATTTTTAGTTAAATTTTTTAATATACATAAATATGAAAATTCATGTTTTCATATTTGCTAGAATTGCTTCAAGTTATTCAACTGAGGGGATTTACATTTTTATACTGGTTCGAACGGCAGATGGTTTTCAGCGAGCAACTTTTTAAAGTCAAATATAAACTCGGAGGTTTGCCATGGAATGCCGAGTGGCTATGGCTATCAGAAAATATACATATGTTGAGGAGCCTAACCCAGGGTCAAAATAAGTTTCTCTAATTAGAATCTATCTTTAACTCAAGGACTGCAGGGCCGGCCTTAACCGATTACGTGTCCCGGGCGCATCATGCATTGACGCCCTTTTAAATTTTATAATAAAAAATAATTATTTATTTTGAATTCTGTGCCATATTTTTACTGAAACAATAAAATTCAAGATCTTGAGTAGCACTACGGTGTGCTTGTTATTTGAGTGATATAAAATTGTGAGAAGGATGCACATCTTCAAGCAAAAAAAAAAATGCATCCAAAAATGCATTTCTTAAATTGAGGTTTTAAATTCTTTCTTCGATTTTTAAACAGTGGAACCGTGTTTCTCGTCTCAAAATCTTTAATATAAGTGTAATGAAACATAAACAAATTTTTTTTGGCACAAATCCGGCGGATTTTTTTTTGGAAGAACACTATTTTTTACCAATTTTTTGAAGGTCAAGAAGTACAATGTCAAGTCAATGGCAGCATTTTTCCGTGAAAGGGAATTACATTAGCTTTCAAAACTATTTTCTTTCATATGAAAACATTGCTTCTGTCGAAAGCGCTACGATTAATTCGCATGCAGTGTTCAAAAAGCACACTGTGCGCCCCCGCTCTACCCTCGGCCAGAAAGACCTCGCCACAGCACATGCATTGATTTTCCTCCAGCCTTCGCTGAGTGGACCCGAGGCTAATTTTGCCCATCATCTCTTTTCTTGGCGATAATTCCGCAAGGGTAGCGCCTCTGGCATGTTTATCAGCCGCTTAGTTGCCTTCGATGTCACTATGGCCTGGCATCCAAACAAGTCTGACAAAGTAATATTCCGACGCTATGAAAAGCGAATTAAGGCATTCCCCAACATGCTTCTACTTAGCCCAGGGCTCATATTGCCGCCTGCCTGTCTCAGTAGATGTTAACCTTTCTTAACGCGAACGCGCCTAACAGCAGACAATCGACTGCTTTCTCAACCTGAAACACGCCACGGTGATCTGTAAGCCCAAATTTCGAGGTGGCTACCTGTAAAAGACCCCTGTCGAACTTCGAGCCGCCGCTCTACATACACTCATACCTAGATGAAATATGCGTTGAGAAGCAGCAAACTTTACGTGCAATATCGGCAAGCGATATGTATAAGACCATTGTTTTTAAGAAAATTGCAGACAAGGTATGAAATACATGTCCATCATACATATGCATGTATGACTACTATCTATGTGGTTGATCTTTTGGCATACAAAGAAAACACACATTATATTTCAATTTATTTTTGGTGTATTTTTTGTGGTTTTTATTTTTCTTCAATTTTATTTTGTGGATTTCATTCTTTTCTTTGCATTTCGTTAATTCTTATTTAGTGTTTGTTATTTTTATCGGTATTGTTTTCACTTTGTTGTTGTTTTTGGTTTTTGCTGACTTTATGCGATTCATTGTATTAATCTAGTTAAATATATATATGTATAATATATAAGTATATATATTAATGCTGTTTCAATGTTCAGCTTCAGCTTTTAGGCCTCATTTTGCCCGTGACTTTTATTACCACTATCACTACCTTCAAATTTCGTCATTAACGTAAACCTGCCGATACATAGTGCGTCTGGGTACATTCACGTACATACATACATATGTATGACTATATGCAGATACATATGTATGGAGATGTGTACATATGTATGTATGTATGTGTTAATAAATATTCGAATGTACGTTTCTTTCACAGGTTATCTATGTTATGTATGTTTTTCGTTTGAATTTGTTTACTTATTTATAATTTTTTTTTTGTTGTAACTTTAATTCTGCTTATATAACAACTGATTTTCAATTACTTTAGGTTTTTAACGGCCCTCTTTTACTGAAGTTCTCTTGTAAGTAAGAGCAGCTTTCACTTAAACTCGAACTGAGCATTTTTCTGCAATATTTTTTGCTGCGATGAGATGCAGTAAAGGATATATGCATATGCAATTATGGTACATACATATGTACATATGTATGTATGTATATTTAATAAAACTTTCAACAATAATTTTAAGTAATTTTCAATAATAACCGGAAGTAAATCACTTCTGCCCTCCACCTATGGAAGTACTTAAGTTACATATGTATGTATGTATGTAGGTGTGTATTAAATTTAATTATTCTATATTTCGAAATTAAAAATCGATTAAGAACAGTTAACTGTTTCTCATACTAAAAATACATGCATACAGATTTGCATATACATAAATATACACATTGATGTATTCAGGTTTCACTCAAAGAAAAACGGGGGAGAAAAATATCAACTCGTTTGGAGTAAAGCGGCCGTTAACTTTTGGCATTTTATAATTTTTATTTATTTTTTCTCGTGTGTACTTTTTTGATTCTCAAAGTAGTGAATTGCGCTATGTAAATATGAAAATTTCGCATTGACGCTTGTAAGTGGTAGTAGTCTTTTATGTGTGTCGAGCATTTTGTTAATGAATTCTTAAGTTAAGTACCGCCTTTGAGCAAAAGTTCTGTTTATTCGTGTGATGCAATTCATATCTAACTATGTGTAAGGTAAATAGCCTGAAAGGCAGATGTTTTATGCAAAATTAACTTGCTTAGCACAAGGAATACAGGCAGCTGTAGAATTTCAATTATTCACTTTCAAAAGGATAACAAAAAAAAAACAAGTTGCAGTATTAGGGGAAGGCAAACTGAAGCATAATGTGAAATATTTTTTACAGAATGTTTCACCCTTTTTCATGCATTTCAGACATCTCCCTAGTCTAGAGTAGTCTATTTAAATCTAATTGTAATCTAATTCAATTTTAGTAAAACGTAATTTGAGCGGTTTTAGTTTAGTTTGGCAACAGTTTTCAAATGGGTTCATCAACCACCCCTTAGTTATTATTCACTCTTTCAATTTGAAGTTTTCTTTTTGTTGTTTCAAAACTTTTTTTTTGTTTGTTTGTTTGTTTGTGTATTTCACTAACACGATACACGTTTTTTATGTCCCTTAGCTAGAAAGTGTACTGATTTTTTTCTTGTTTTAAATTAACACGTTAAGTAGTCAGCGTTGTGTACAGTTACTATTACTATTATGGGGGATATTAGTTTCAAGTTCATCCACATGCCTATTGGATAACTGACTAAAATTAGTTTCCCCTTTTTTGGGCTTAAGTTCGTTATGATTTTTGTTTGAATTTGCAGAAATATTCGATTACAATCATCAACCCGTTGAAACCATAGAATCTTAAAGATACATACTTGCAATATTTTTTGTTCTCTCAAAAACTACAAAATAAGCTCAGAAATACAGTAAATGTGTGCATGTCTATGTATGTAATCACGTATGTATGCCAGGTTCACTACTGGGAGTTTGTTTTTGTTGTGCAGTTGCATGGGGAAAGATTGTGAGTGGAATGAGTGCTAGAACTGTTGCAAAGCAAATAGTATTCTTACACTAAATCTGCGTATTTTGGATGCTGAAGTATAAAGCTGATGAGAATTCACTCAGAAATTATGCATCGCATGCATGCCGTGTAGTTTTTTTTATTCATACAAATTGTTTTTTGTGAATATGAAAAAACTAAAAATTAAGTGAAGAAACAATAAGGGCTGGTTGTTCAATGCCTGGTCATCACTACTTACCGGTAAAAGATCATTATCGACGTTTTCAACATCATTCATATAAAATGTGATCGATAAAGCAGTCATTGTGTTTAACCGGAGCTTCTACCTCCCATTAGTGTTAATCAGACATTGTACAACCGGCCTTAAATGAGTGTAAGTAATGATATTGGCAGTTTCGCTAATTAATTTATGTATGTGTTTAGTGTTTGAAGCACTGTCTCAAATAACTTAAATGCAGTGGAAGTTTGTAGAATTTTAGAATATTAACAATTTTAGATTAGTAGCAGCCTTTGGTCAAAGAGCATAAAGAGGATGAAAAAGGAGAATAAATGTAACGTGAACAGCCATCATTTCAATGTCTGCTTAATATCGCCCTAATCAATCTTATATACGCTAGACGCACGTGACATTTTCAAAAATTTATTAGAAAATATTTTACTAACTTAAGGCTGACCACAACCTTATGTCCTTTTCCCATACCTTTACCGATTATATTATTGGCCAACATTGTATAGATAACCAATTTAGCGGCACATGTACACGCCTAAAGATCTATTCTGATCTAAATAAATGGATAAAGCGTCTTTTGGTTCCATTTGACAATGCGTTTTAACTTATTCGACTACAAATGCCATCGAGTTTGACATAGTGAAAATCAGCCTTTACGAAAGACTTTTCTTTTTTTTTATATTCGCAAACAGTATAAATTTCTGCCATGAACACCACTACAACTGAATGCACCTAAATGAAAATTTGCGTAGTTACGGAAAATTTAAAAATCTTTTTTTTTTCTTCTCTTTCATTACTTGAGACATTGCTTCAATTTGTGTGTGGAAGAATTTAAAGAAGAAATGCGTACTGTACATACATAAGTGCATCTCGTAGATTATGGTGTTGAGCGAAGTTTATGGTACCAATGGTAATTAGCTTTGATCGCCTCCAATGTACTTTGCGTATTTTACGGGAATACGGGAACAAAGCACTTGCAGGGTGATTTGTATGCAAGGATGTGCGGTGAAAGGGACTACAAATTGTGCTAATTCTAATAATGGCGTTGATCTTCATTTGTCTGATTCCTTATTAGAAGAGGGTCTTGTGCTGCTGTGGTGGGGCATTTTGTGTTAGATTTTCTCTTAGTTTACTGGAAAAAAAAAAATATTGAATACATTTACTGCTGCCAGCTGTCACATTTAAAAATAATTCAACCTGAGTTATTTGTAATCAAATTATTACCATTTTTCTAATGACCTTAGCGATTCCATGTATGGTTCTCAAATTCTCAAAATATCTAGTGCTTGCTTGTACGATTATCTTTTCATTGCATACCTGTCTGTCCGCGTTTTGAATAATTTACTTGTAACAGCATGTAAGTTTAGTAAATTTTTGTGTGTTTCCCTTATGCTTCAATTTTTATTAGTATTTTATTTTGGTTGTTGACAGTAACTTGGCTAAATTAATAACTATGATTCTCTTCTTTTCCATTTATTCACGTTTTTTATTTGTTATGTGCATTTTTTAGTTGCTTTATTTTTGTGTGTGTGTGTGTGTGTATGCTTTGGTCGCATCTTTTTTTTTGTGCTTACTTCACTTGCATTAAACTGACTTGTGTTAAAGAGTAAGCCTTCGGCAAACTTATTCAATTTACCTAATATTCTTCACTTTATTGATTAGTTTGATTATTATGCATTCCTATTACTCTGTTAAAAAGTGCAAATATTATTTTCTTTTATTTTCTTGTTTTTGCGTTTGTCGTTTTTGTTACTACTATCGTCGTTTGCAATTGCTTGTCTTCTTTTTAAAATTGTTTTTTTTTTTCATTTAGTTGTTTTTTTTGTGGCTCCTACTTTTGAAACGCTCTTAATTGCATCTGTTAAATACTTTTCAATAATACTTTTTAGTTTATTGTGTTGCGTACCCGTTCGTAAAATTGTAAATATTAATTGTTTGCATTTCCCTTTGCATTTTCTTTCGCTTAATTTCAAATAGTTCATTTTAAGAATTAGTATAATTAAAAGTTAAATTAAAAAAAAAATTTAACAAGTGCTTGTCTGTATATGTATACGTATGTATGTATATATATACTATTTACTTTACATAAGCGTCTTTAAATAAATTAGAAGTTAACAATTGCTCTGTGTAAACTTAACAAAGTATCAAATGAAGCCTACAAAGTTCCCAAATATTTATGTATATATGCATTTGCATCACTCTCAATTTAACAAACGTGCAATCTTATGAAACAACAACAAGAAAATGATTTGAATAAATGCGGAGCGTGGGTAGACCTCAAGCCTATCGTTATCGTTTTTTAGCCGGGCGCATTTGTGTGCACACCATAACTCGAGTAAAAATTTTGGCTAAGTATATGTAGATGGTATTGAAATACATTTGGATAAACCCGGATCCAATTGGAAGGGTAGCTTTTTTTTGCTATTCAAGTAAGGTATATGGTTGTTCTACGTGATATTCTAAGCTGAGTTGCCGAAAAAACCATGGGTGTAAAATCAATTTCCATTTTGCCAAGTTGCGAAAATAGATTTTTTTCCTCAGCAACGTTTTATTTGGCTGTGGTGTCTGATTTTTTATAAAAACTGGCGGATGTTTTAGGAAAAAGATAAGTACAGAAATGGATTCCTCATATTAAAAAACCCAACATAGCATGTTTTTATACAAAATTTAAAAAATCTTAATGACACGGGCGCTAAATAAAAAGTCACAAAGGAAAAAACTTATTTTCGCAATTTGGCAAGCGGATGACTGCTATTAGAATTGGCCGGAAACTGGGCTCGATCCCTGCGGAATGGTATTGCGCACTGCTAACTAATATCGCCATGGTTTCTATACTCTTAGAATTTCATGTAGAATACTTCTTACCCAATCCGCATAGTCGAAAAAATCTACCATACAAATTGACTCTCGCCCTAATGCCCATCTACATTTGCAGAGCAAAGTGTGTAAAAGCAACTCTTCAAATTTTATAGTTATAAACAGCGGTTTAGTAATTCAAATTGCGAATACCCGCATAGAAAATTGGAAATTGCGCACTTGTTTAAATAACTGTTTTACATCTGCCTTTTATTTCAAAGAATTATTGCACGTTTGCTAAACCATGTGTACGATAAGTTTTTAATTTCTAATGGAATTTTTTTTCACACAACTGGTATGCATTTACGATAATATTTGCGTATATACAGTTTGTAGTACAGACTCTGTACATAACCACCCATACCTAATGGCATTTACTAAATCTTTTAACGTTGCTTGTTTTATTTTTTTTTTTTGTTTACTTGGAATGTATGTCTGTATATAAGTGTTAATGCATATTTTATTTATTTACTTAATTACCTAAACTATACTATATGTATGTCTTTTTTCCATAATGTTGCACCCGAATTATTCATTTATAAATTTTTCTACGAACTAGTGTATGGAGTTTGTGTATGTTTCGTGTGTATATTTGCTTGTGTCACTTAGTGCACTGCCGCAAGTAAATATGCCTTTATGCTTTAACATTTCACTTTTGCCATATTACTTCAACATCTTGCCATATTGCATTTATTTTTTCAATTTCACAGTATACTTTTGCACGCTTGCACGTTAGTTCATACCAGTGATGTTTTTTTCTTCTTTTTTTCTTTCTTTTTAGCGATGCTGTTCTAAATGTAATGCCTATTCATTGTGGGTATACTTAGTTCAAAAGAGGCCCGCATTATGTTGTTGGGCACCGGCTGCGTATGCTTCCCATTCACAGTCACAGCCCTCCAAACAGTCGGGACACTCAAGCTCACTGTCTTGTCAGTACAGCCATGAAACTGGCACCCATTGTGGAGTGGTGTGCACGCGTTCGATGGCCGCTTCCAGCGTAGCAATTGTCTCGCTAATGTCGTTGTTTACAATCGTCAAATCAAAGAAATGTCCATACAATTGACGTAACATATCGGACTCCTTAGCCAGCCGCTCCAAACTGCCATCGTACTGCAATGTACATACAAGCAAAGTATGAGAATTTTCATTTTTTGTTTATATGTTTGTAGACTTCAACTCACATCAGCAATATTTTGTAATGACGGCGCCGCAATAAACACTACGTATGGCGTGAACTCTGCAGTACGTAGAATTTTCAAAGCTTGTGGTTCAACATCCAATATAGCCATTTTGCCTTCGGTGTGTATGCGGCGTATAGTATCCAATTTCGTGCCGTACATGGCATCCTCGTGAGTACCTGTAAGAGATTATAAATTACTAGTGAAACCGCATGGCGGTAAAACTCCAAAATTCAAGTCAACTTTTTAAACAGGTGAAACCTTATTCAAAAACCTTAAAATATATTCTTAATGATTTATCTAAACCGGTGATGGGCACCGCATTGCCCGCGGGCAAAGCTCTTTTTACCTAAATCCGACATAACGTTGCAGATGTGATGACCTTTAAAAAAAATAGATGGCAACCCTAATTAAAAATATTATCAGCCTTAAGTTTTCTTAAAACTCTTTCGTTTGACACTAATAGTTCTATATTTCATTAATGTAGCTTGTGTAAATGTAAAACAAATTCGATTTTTCAAACAGGTGGCAACCGCTTTAAAAGTATTTTCAAACTCAAATTTTTTTTATCGTCTGGCATCGTTATACATATTTCAATTAACTGATGAATTAAGTTGAAATTGATTTATTAAGCGGCAACCCTCTTAACATTTATCTTCAAACCAAACTTTCCTTTAATATTTTTCGTATGACATGGTTATACATATTTCAAGTAACTGATGAATTAAGTTGAAATTTATTTTTTAAATACGTGGCAACCCTCTTAAATATGGTTCTGAACAGGGACCGAACATAACAGTTATTGATGAAAACTTTCATTGAAAAATTCACTATGAAGGAAATGTTCTACAACTACGAGGTACGTACCACTCGATTTCTTTTTTTTCACCGAGAATCTCATTTTAAAATAAATCTTTTTTGTAATTTTTATGCAAAGCTAAAAAAGTCATTATTTTTGATAAATCCAAAATAACAAATATTTTTAATTTTTATATTATACATATGTCGATACAACAGTTATTGAAGACTTTTATTTATAAAATTCATCAATAAAAAGCAGCCAGTGACTTTTATCTTTTAAGTCATACATATAAAAGTCATTACCATTTTTAGCAGTTAAGAAGGCATTGGAGAGCAAAAGTTTACTACGACTTATACAAATGACTTTTATAAGTATAATTTAAAAAATAAAAGTCAATGACTGATAAATAAAAGTCTTCAATAACTGTTATCCAAAACATATAATACAAAAAAATCAAATATAACTGTTATTTGCAGATTGTTTAGGTAACTGTTATTTTGGATTTATAAAATAAAAATCAGAAATAACTGTTATTTAAGGAGTAATTAAATAAAAGTCTAAAAATACTTTTCACAGAGCGATTTTTTTAATAAAAGTTGTAACTGTTACGGTCCCTGGTTCTTAAATAAAGGATTTTAAACCCTTTTCCATTTATAGCCATCTTGGCAATTCAAATAATTTATTGAATAATTTTAATTTAACCTTTTAAACTGGGGAAACCCTCAAACAAATCAAAAATATTATAAATTTTCAAAATAAATATTTCTTAAAACTTTTTCATTTGACAATAACTTTTAATATTTCATATAACTTGGGTATAAAATAATTTAATTTGACTTCTCAAATATGTGGCAACTTTCTTCAAAATATTTTCAAACTAATACATTCTTAAATCTCTTTTGTCTGGCAACCATATAGTGATACTTTATTCCAAATTCCTTTAACTAAAATTGAATTACATTTTTTAACATGCATATAAAGCCTTTTCAAAACCATTTCGGTTGATACCCATATTGTAACAATTGATTTAAGTTTTTAAATAATTTGAGCCTAATTTCTTAACTGGTGGCAACTACTCTGGAAAAAGTAAAACCTTATTGAACATCCGCACCTTAAGCCCTTTAATTTTGTACCTTTTGAAAATCGACCGAATGATGCGGATCTGAGGGCAGTTATTATTAAGTAAATGGGGTGTAGATATTTAGAAGGTGGCAACTCTTTTCGAGAAACTAAAACCAGTTTGCGCATCTACAGACCAAGCGCTTTAATTTGACATCTCGTTTTTGAAAATGGAGCTAAAGGTATAGATGTTTTTTCCTGGACAAAAAATCCCTTCGCGTACTATTTATATAGATTAACTAAAGCTGTTGAAAATGAAAAAGTGAAAAATTTTACAGAATCGTTAATAAATTTTTGATGTGTAAACATCTTAGCTCTTAGTATGAGTAAAATTTGCATTAATCCAATAGAAAATCTGTAATTGCATTTTGTACTATGTACTATTGAACTATTCTGGGCTAGGACCGCTTTCTCAAATAGGTTTGAAAATTTATAAGCAAAATTTATGTCCGGATTAGTTTTGTGATTAGTGTAGGAACATGTCGGGTCTAGTTCAGGACTATTTAATACCCATTTTGAGACAAGTACGGGACCATTAATAAACACGCCTGTCCGCCTGACCTTGGCAACCCTACTGACTGAACGAAGGCTGTTGACGAAATGAACGAAACGCACGAGGACAAAGAAATTAAAACGAACTGACGGCATACGTTTTTGAACCGCGCGACCGAACAGACCTTAGCTACCTGTAAGTGCACCGGCGTTGTAAAGATTTTAAACAATTTATGAATAATAATTTATAATTAATATTAAACACAAACTGTTTTATTGAGCGGAAACTATGTACATACATTTAATAAAGAAAGCTTGAAAGAGCTTTGCCCGCGTGCAAGCCGAAGCTACCTCTCTACACAGATGCTTACACATCAAATTTCAGGGGAATTGACGCATTTTTTGCTTTTATAAAATAATTAAGAATTCCAAAGAGTTCGCTTCTTCTTTAAGTAAATTTCAATTAAATATGAACAAGAAAATTTTACTCTTACCGTATTCCAAATACTCATTCGCAGCAATGTCGGCCATCATTTCGTCATGTGAAACAAAGTAATAGCTGCGACCATTCTCCTCCTCCGGTTTAGCAGGTCTCGTTGTATCTGTAAATTTGGTTTGAGTTTCAAATTATACTGCATTATGTATAAATATATGTATATCAGGCAGGTTCTGCAATTCACTTCCGAGTGAATTTCAACCCCTGCCAATTTGAATTCTACGCGAATCCGACTCAAATTCACTCGGAAGTGAATTGCAGAACCTGCCTGTATATGTAGCACACAAGTGGTAAGTACTTACGTGGTATGGGGTAGGCATATTTATCGGGATACTTGGAAATTAATGTATTCTTAATGTGACGGCGACCCACACCATGCGCACCAAGCAAAACCAACGTTTTCCGTTGAAAGTTTGGATCACCGACTTCACAGAAAAAAAAAAAAACAAAAAAAAATATAATAGTGAATTGATTAAAAATTTAGTTGAGCAGAAAAAAATACCTGGCACTTTTACAACCTCCTCATATGTGACCACATCCAAGTTATCAAATATAGCATTGTGTTTGGCTAAGTATTTGTCGCGACATTGCTTCTTCTTGCGTCCAAAGATCGAACAATTTACTGTGAACAAAGAGAATGTAATGAATAGCGAAGATATTATATGGATGGACATATTTATCGACATTTTCATCGAATTAAAGGAGCGTGAGTGTGTCCCAATCAAACATCCATGCTGCAAAAAAAATTTTTCCCATGCATTATCATGCTGTTGCCTTTGGTCGCGAGCAATTTGCAAACCACAATTTCGCATTGATACTTGCAATCAATACGCGTAGGAGAAGCAAAACACCAAAAGTGACTTTGGAAAAAAATAATTTTCCAAAGTTCATATTTAGTTAAGCGGGATAGTAATAAAAAATGAATATATACAGATGAGTTCTACTTAACATATTTTTAGTTTTCTTTTCGTTATAAATAATCTTCAGTTTAAAAACCTCAGTCGTGTACTATTTATTATATTTCAAAATTCCTGTGATGAGATTTAAATACTATAAACTACATTATAAACAAAAGGTTTACTAATATATACTTACATAGGTACATATTTACAAATATTTTTATTAAAAATAACTAGTGTTTGACATTCAAACTATCTACTTCTTGTTAAGAGATTTTTCACATTTTTAATTTTTTTGTAACTGTTGGATTTGAAGCGCAGTTGGCCACTTGAAAGCTCTTTTAAGCTTTCTGTACATATTATATGTATGTACACATATTAGGTACTGCTGACAGATGGAAAAAGCTCTATATGGCCAAGATTGATTTTAAAATTTGTTTTAAAAATTGTTGACCAGTTTCTACTTTCCGTCAGCCGTATATAAATTGCACAGAGAACTTTTAAAAGTTTGGAAAATGTGCCTATGAAGTGCGGAATAGTCATGTACAATCAGTAAAAACTCTCATTTTGGTAGTTGGGAAAAATAATGAGTTTAAAAAAGAGTTGAAAATAAAGACGAAATTTACTATAATGGGAAATTTTACCTCTAGAAAAATGCAACGCAGGCCGCTAAAAAACCTATACTGGTTATCGGAAGATTACAAGTTTAAAAAATACACCACACTCTGCTACAATAAATAATATATTTTCGACTTTGTTCGATGACCTTTTGTCATCCTTCGGCGAGTTTCATAATGCACCGTTGTGTTTACGTCTCAGGGAACACGGGAGTGCGATAATTTTTTTTATATTTAACGTGTAAATTTGTAGTATCTCTGCTTTGCCTATGCTTCAGGGCAAAACAAAACCAAATCTGCTACAAGTGCTTATGGAGTGAGCAGTTCTTATATAAGGCATCGATTTTTTAAGGCACAACTGCCTATTTTCAAGGATAATTTCGGCACCTGTTAAGGGCCATTTCGGGGATAGTTCGGAATCATTCCCGGACTGTTGAGGGACCCATTTTCACGACAATTTCTGGCCTAGTTCATAACTATTTGTGGCCCATTTTGCGGCTATCTCTGGACTATTTTAGGAACATTTCGGGACTAGCTCGGAATAATTTTGAGCTCAGTTCATGACTATGTCAGGATTAGTTCAGGACTATTTTAGGAGGTATGTAAGGCACCTTTTCGAGAGCGTTTCAAGGCATGTTCCAGTTAATTTCGTGACAGGTTTACGACCTTTTCGACCATTTCGGAGTCTGTAAAGGTCTCTTTCGGGACTAGTACGGGATCATTTCGGGACCTGTTCAGGACTATTTCACGACCATTTCAGAACTATTTCATGACTATTACAGAACTATTTCGGGATCATTTGTGGTAAAGTTCTGGATCATTTCAAGACTATAAGGGATAATTTCGTTTCCATTTTAAGACTTGCTTGCGGCCTTTTCAGGACAAGTTCACGACTTTTTCAGAACCACTTCATACCTATGTACTTCACGACAATTTGGGGCTAGTTCGGTATCATTCCATTATTACTATTAAGTCTTGTTTTCTCTAATCATATTTTGACGATAAAATGTGTGAATATAAATGCAGTTTTGGTTAATATGAGATGTCCATATTCACGAGTGTTATTTAACTGTCAACTGTAAATAAATTGTTTGCCATTTGATGCCTTAGTGTAAATACGGCATTAAACAAAAGAAAATTTAAACAGTGAGTTACTTAACAAATGCATTTTTTATTGCAGTACATTTATTTTGCATTCGTTTTATGCAAAGATTTAAGTATGCATGTCATCAAATATTTTTGTGGAATGGTAAATGATCCTAAGCTAAATGGTAATCATCTGTGCAAGCGTGTTACTATAAGACTAATGGATATCTAAAATAAACTTTTACAAAATTACTAAACAATGTGATTTAGAGCTGTGCATAGGGAGAAATTTTCTATATGTACTTTTCTTGTAAAATTAATTCGACGGCAACGGTGAAAGGTTTCTCAATTCAATTGCAACTAAATGTGCTAATTTATTATACATATGTACGTCTATATTGCTAAGTGTATGCCCAAAGTGAAATCGGCTTAAGATCCATCGAATTATGAACAATAACAGCATATGTTTATACATATGTATGTGTATAGTATAAGGTATGTACATATTTATATGATTTGAACTTATTAAGGAAAATTTATAAATCAATCAAAACTTGGCAAATATTACATATGTATTACAAACGAGTGTGTGCGTGTGCGTGTGTGAGTGAGCAAAGAAGTGAGTGGGGAATTAAGTGGGTGGGTGGTTGTGTGTTGCGTGAGATTACAGTACTCAGCTAAGGGACAAGTGACAATTGCATGGATGGTTGTATACTTTAACTACCTGTCGATCCATCACACCCATCTGCGTGGGCAGAACAGCCAGCGGCACCTTCTCCTGTGTTTTATCATTATGGTTAATATGCGTTTTATATGTTTGTATTTGTACATTATTGATCATCATCATCATCATCATCATCATTATCATCACCAACATCAACATCAAATTATTATCAAAGACATGATTATCACGAATATGACATCATCATTATTATGAATTCATAATTGTAGGTATTTATGAGGATAAGAGAAGGGAGACAATCACAACATCATAACAGTATGTATTGGCAAGTTTAACTAGAAGGCATGATTTTCTATACATACATACATACATACACATGTTATGTACATACAGTACATATAGTACAAACACACATACATTTACATATATAACATTACAAATTAATTGGTAACGAAAAATGGAAAGTAACTCAAGAAGGGTAGACCAAAAATTATGGCATTGAATGTACACTTTTGGAATTTTCAAGGATATTTAATTTCAAAATAGTGTGCATTTTAATTTTACTATCATTTAATATGTATCTAGGTACGTGCATGTACAGTTATTCTGTTTCTTATTTTTGCTAATGACCTGGTATATGTTACGAGGAAAGCTGATATTTTGCATTTTTGACTTTTCACATGCATATGCATAAATCATCATCAGCAATGCAGAAGGCACTATTTGTCAAATGTGGAATTTGGCAGGAGAACAATAAATAAAAAATAAATAAAAATTAAAGTAACATGAGAAAGGAGTCCAAATAAAACTGACTTGAATAAGTACGCTCGTGCCTAGTTTAGTGTTAAAATATAAAAAGGTTGACTATATGGAGTTATAAGACCAAATTAATGGGCTGAACAGCACTATACTAGACTCGACCTATCCCGTGTCCACGCCAAGAGGGCCTACCCTCAGCATACTTGGTGGTCACGAGAACTCTCGGGACTCAGAAAAGAGGTGTGTAGCTGCTTAATCGGGCAAAGCGCAAGGGAAACTGGTACGGGTATCCAGCCAGCCAAACTAAACAAACAGTTAAGAGATTAGGAGCCCCAAACATAGCAGCTTCAGGACTTTTCGTTAGAGTACCTCCATCGCCTCCAGCAGCCGCTAGGCTTCATAAACCATTGGCAAAGCACGGCACAGATAGCAGGCTAGCTATCAGACTACCCTATGGCATTTATATAAGTAATCAAAAGGAACACTCGCACTGCTATCAGCCATTATTTCCTAATGATGAGGAACAATTGTTAGTTTAATAAATGTCGAAAAGTTGAAATAATATTTTTTTGGTAAAAGAATGACAAAATATTGCTCAGAATCCACAAATGTGATCGACATAGTTTGCAAAGGGTTTTATTGTATCCTGCTAAATGTTTTCTTAACATATCTATTAGTTTTCATTGAAAGTTCGACGATATATTCAGTCTTTCAGAGAATGATTTAGTGAATACACTCAACTCTTTAGGAAAAGTTTTGATTTAAAAAATTTGTATGGGATCATGAGACAATTCGGAAAAACGGTTAACACCATTGAATTCAGCCCAAATTATGTAGAAATGACCTATCTCCCGTCTGTCAGAAAAAATGTGAAAAAAAAACTACAACAGTGAAATTATAAAAAGCAATTTTTAAACAAAACGTAAAAATTTAGTACTGCCGTTTATTTCCTAATTACAAAATGATCGGAACTAAACCAAATTGGTATGGGACCACCCTTGAGGTAACTTTCCGATAAAAAATAATAATCGTAAAAGGGTTCACGTGGTTCAACGTTATCCGGAAACATATGTATGCACATCAAAGAACGTCGGTTAAAAATTAGAAAATTTCTGGCAAATACCGCAAGTTTCAAATGCCTACAAAATATCGTTGATTTTTGATCTGAGTTTTTAGCTGACGGTGTTGCGGGTTTCTTTCCTTTTATATCAAAATAAACTGTGTCTATTCGTTATAAGGAAGCAAATGTGACAAAAAAACTCTAAAAACGTGAATTTCTAGCCACATGAAACTTGCACTTCCTGCTACAAAAATTTTAATGTCTAGACTTGTATATAAAAAAAACTATCATATAAACAAAAGCAATATAGCCACACAAGGCGTTTCTATTATTTCTGCTTCCAGTGTATATGGCCAAGACAAGAGCACACACACTACCTATCACCGGGATGGATCTCTTCTAAAATGTATAGAGCTTTTAGGGCTAGATGCAGCGTTATGATGAGCAGAGGGCATACTATGTAGACCTACGGGTGGCAGTGCTAACTCTATTTATTTCTGGCATGGAGGCGTATCTGAGTGAAGCTAATAAATTTTCAAAGAGGCATTTCAACGAAATACCAATTTTGTACAGTTCAATGCCTTATAATTGTATTATTTTGGTTGTCAATGATTATTAAAATAATATTACTGGCATAAAATGGCGGACTTACGCATAACTAAAACTAATAATTTATTTTAAGTATAAAGGAAAAGACGCACACACAGGATAAGGAATTCAAATCGTTTAAAAGTACATTTTTCAACTACAGCACATACACGTTTTTATACATTTACTACCTTATACATTTACATATACACATAAATACATATCTATAGAATATATATGTATATACATATAATAAATACTCATGTACATATGTACATACATAGGTTAAATATATATATATATATATATGAATAGCACAACCAATCAACATACAATTACAATTATGTTATTTCCCATTTTGATAGAGATCCAGTTAATTAGAGAATTTAAGCGTGCGTGTAATGGCTCTTTATCGCATTTTAATATATCGCTTACCTTGTTCTTGTTTGGTCTTATCAGCAACATTGCAGGCAATACGCCATTCTTGTAGCTCTGGCGATGGTATCAAACCAGCCGAACCGCCGACTGTATCCAAACGTGCCTGCCACCAATGATGGTCATCTTTGCTAATAATCTTATTAGTGAGAGAAATGAACAAATATGTATATGTACATACATATATAAGAAGAAGATAAATTAATTTTGTTTAGGTGTGTGCGCTCATAGTAATCGCTTATCGCCATAATTAAATTTTGCATTTGATTCCACACAATAAACGCGCTCACAACCACACGCTCAACTTGCCCAATTTTCTTGTGTTGCTTTTTAGTAATTTACGGATTGTGTGTGCCCGCCGCTTTGATCTGGGCACAGATATTTAATAAATAGTTCGCATGTGGCACGTCTGTTTCAAAGGCGATTAAGTGTGTGGTCTATGGTGTAAGGTGTGTGTGTGTGCGTGTGTGTGTGTGGCGTGTGAATGCGCTCACCTGTAAAATATCGCCAACTTGGAATGCGATGCCTGCCTGAGCACATGGTATAAGCTCATCATCTAAAGGATTATAATCGAATTGTGCACGCACAAATATCTGCAAAGAAGAGGACGACGAAGATTAAATGTTAATTTCATTTTGTTTTATGTTAAGAATTCCGCTCGCTATACATATTATACTTTGATCTTTTTACGCTCACACTAACTGCTAATTTTGCTTCATTGTCTTCGTTAGGAAGAAGACGCTTTTTACTATGTATGTATATAGCTGAACAAATTTGTATGTAATGGAGTGGGCAAACAAAAGCAGCAAATGGTAAAATTTGAAAAATTGTGTTACACCTTAATAATCCTGTTCTTATAATAGTTTTCTTTGAACAATAATTCAGTCATTTACATTATGTATGTATGTTTATTAGGTGACTGATAACATCGAATTTATCACTAAAATGTATTGATGGCTTCCATCTATTGTATACTAAGTTTTTGCATAAATACATACTTATGTTTATAGTTGTATTCCCTTAATTTTCTCTACTTTGCTTATACCAATAGGGAGCTTTAAAATACATATGCATGTAGGTATGTATGTATATACACCTAAGTGCACTAAGCATTAAACTTCAATACACGTTCGAATTGATTTTGAAAATTCAAATGAAACGGAAATCTGAGTTTCGGTCGAGAAAAGCTCAATAGCTATTAGGTTTGTTCCACAAGCTGCTCGAATACAATTCAAGCTACACATATCGCTAGCTTATAGCCGCACTCGAGAGTCCTTTGGCCAGCCAATTAACAATAAATCCGAAATGGCGTATTAAAGATGATAAAATATGACGCTACCTCAAATTAACGATAAGCAGGGGGCGCAAAATGATATAAATACTAACTTTTATATTTGATTTCAAACTGAACAACAAAAGTGAGTGATATCAAAAAAAAAAAAGGTCCACACCTGGGGCCATACTAAAAGTTGTCATAAAGTAATGAACCCTTATATTTTAACACTGAGAGAAATATTAATTAACAGACTCAACGATGCGTATTCTTTTTGCCTTATCGAATATTCGGCACATCTTTTGGACTTGGCAAATTTTCCTTTCATTAAATATAAACGAAAAAAAATAAAACCTTAATCCTTTTCGTCAGCAACTTTACTAATAAGGCCTATGCCAGATAAAACGCTTGCTCTGCTTTGCATGACAGCTTCGCTTTGACAGATAAGATGAAACGTATGGAAATGCATGTAGCATGTCACATACATATGTATGTAGATCATTTTAGCTGCACGGCGAAGCGTTGCGCGCGTTGACCCTCAGCTGGTTTAATTTTTATTTGGCTTCGTTCAAATTCGGGTTTCATGCAGAAATATAAAACTAAAAACATTGCTGATATGTTTAAAACTAAATATATAAAATCCACAGCAATTTAATTTTCAGTAATAAGCAAGGTTAGGTTAGGTTGTCGCGGTCATCTATAAGACACCATTTTGATGCCGCATGTAGGGTTAGCAACAACTAATCCCTCCTAAAAAGCATTTTGAGCTTTTCAGGAACTTTAGAAGATCGCTGATTTCCACGCATCTAAGGTCCTCGAAGTTGTCGAAGAATTGTCCACCAAAAGTGGAGACAAAAGTGGACAATACATATATTTGGAAAAACCGTATTTATGGTCCGATTTGTTTTATATTTAGAAAGTATATTACCTAAATGAAAAGGAATAACTCCACAAAAAATTTAGCCGTTTGGTGGTGTGGTGGTCGATTTTTTATTAGCCATTAATAAAAACTTGTCTTTAAAAAAATTTTCTACACAGGGGTTAATGAGAAAATGTGCTTCAGAATCGAAAGTATTGAGAGAAAAAAATTGTATTTTTATATTAGTTGTCAAATAAACAGGCAACAGGTTAACATCTGGTTATCTGGTTAACCGTATTACACTGTACCTGAGCTTATCTAGTTATTCATTTAACTGTTGTAAGTAGATAAGATACGATTTATGTAGGCTGGAAAAATTAAAAAAGTTTTCTAGAGGCATTTTTAGGCCACAATTAGAATTATACTACTTCCATCGAAGTGTATTGAAGTAGTTTTTCGATAAGTAACCAGTCTGATTTAAACTTGCGGAAATTGTGCTATTCATTTCTTTATGTTGCGAGTATTAATAAAAAATTAACTACAATGACGTTGATTTTACTTACAAGTACTGGAGTTGGTCTTATCCTGAAAAGCTGCATTTGTATGTGAGTGTAGAAATGTAAAAGTAATGTTAATGGAAGATATGAGAAACACATTATGAGAAACTAACTACAATCCATAAGTAAATTGATATTTAAAAAAAACTGAATTTAATTAGTTGAAAAAGTTAATTTTTTTTTTTTGCAAATAAAACTGTAAAGAAAAGCAAGTTATTAGAAAATAAAGAAAAAGATGAAATTGTGCGCAAACTGATTCTAATGTTTTCGGTGGATTTTAATTTATATCGCTGGGTGTTAATCTGTTACATTAGGTGCTGGGTTCTTTTTTTTTTTTTGGCTGTATTTCTATAGCATTTAACATGCGCCATATTTAGTAAGTAAAACTAAAAATTACTATCGGCGAATACTAAAACATATTTGGTAAATAATTTCGGTTAGTTTTTTATTCAAGCAATCACTACTGTACATACCTCGCAGGGTGGCGGAGCACTTCTATAAGAAGGAACTATTTTGAAGGTAACCGAACCACGCGCTTCACGCTACAGAACATAGAAGAGAGGAAGAAAGAAAAACAAAGACAAGCAATAAGAACTCATTGCTGCAAATTATTCAACCATTTACGTTGCGCACAGTGACGAAAATTCATAAAAGTCTTTTCGTACAAATGTAAGCACTCACCAGCATGCGTTGCAATTGCCCCACTGATTGATGTTGCACGGGTTGTCCATTAATTTCCCGTATCTCATCGCCAACATGCAGCGTGGCCTGGCGATGTATCATGCCGCCATGCATTATTCTGGCTACAATGCAACGGCCGTCTTCGGTCATTTTTAACGTTATGCCCTTAAGGTAATTATGTAATTGCAAAATTAGTACTGAATGGTTATAACAGTCAGTTATGTCTATAGGTAAATATGTACAAATATATTTACATACATATGCATGTATGTATGTATACTAGGGTGGGCCAAAAGTACATGCAAGGGTAAAAAGTTTAAAATGTTAAGCTCCAGCCTGCATTCTAAAATGAAGTGCCAGTTTCGGCAAAAATATCCCGTTAATTTTTGAGAATTTGTTTTACGGATTTGTGCACTTTTTTCCATATAAGCATGAATTTCTTTGAAATAAATTGAGGAAGCCCGTTAGCGACATAATTTCAAAAGAGCAACGCCAGTTTTTGTAAATTGCACTTGTTCCAAAAAAAAAGACACAAAAGCAGTCTCCAAAAAAACAAATAGCAAAAATCAGCGCGATTTTTTAGCCGTTCTATAAAATTGCACACCCAAAAATGTTCTAAATATTCAGATTAAAAAGTTGAAATTTCGATGGAAATGAGTTTTCCTAAATTTTCTATAAAGTGTAAAACCAAGATTTATATGGTTTTGGTTAGCGCTTTATAGGAAAATACAAAAAAAAAAATAAAAATAAAGACCTCGAAAAACATTACGGATCTTAAAAAAATTCAACACGTGGTCATTTGCTAGAGTCATTGTATAAACATTTGGTTGTTATTATTAGAAGTCTCCCCAAAAGAAACGTAGTTTTCCGATCGAAAAATATTTATTTTAGTGAATTCTATACCATTACTACAAAAAAGTGTTTTTCCCCATATAAAATACCTGGAAACTTCATGCGATTAGGGCAGTTCTAAACGTAATATTTTTTTTAACAAAAAAAAAACATGGAAGTATTCTTTCTTTTCATTTAGAAAAATCTTATGGGCGGAGAGCTTAACATTTTAAACATTTTTTGTTTGCCTCACCCTAATGTACACGCAGATGTTGTAGAGCAGAAACTCTTTAGTCTTCTTATTGACGTGCACTACTCACCATTGGTTCGTCGGTGTTCTTTTGAAATTGCACCAAACGTACTCTGGTTACATGTTGCAACTCGCCATTGTCCACATTATCGATTTCGTCACCATTAATATAGGGTGCCATTGGTGGCGGTGTGACGCGCAGTGCCTCCTCGCCGTAAACGTCACGGGCAACAACATCGTGAGTATGTAGCAAAGCCTGTAATGAAAAAATGTAGCAAAAGAATATAATTTGTAATAAGTTGACGACAAATAAAAGGCAAATTTCTCGTGCTGCATTTTATTTATATTTATTTTTTCTTATAAGGAAATGGCACACACAGTTGGTATGGCAGTGCAGATAAAAGGATGTAGAAGAATATAAAGAAGAATTCTGCGCACAAATGTTATGTATGCATATGTGGAATGTATGCAGCAGCAAAAAGTGACCAGCGGTAATAATAAATAATGCACGGCATACGCGATACACTCAACTTTACCCTGTAAAAGTGTCATTTAAGTTGGAAATTAAATAAATATGTTTATATATCAACCCACACACATACATAGATGCTTGTTAACCTACAAGCAAGGCCCTTGAATTGAATGGCCAACGGTGCGTATACGTAACCGTGTGCAGAACGCAACTCTACTAGTTGGCCAAGCACTTAAATATACATCCTTAAGTATTATACCTTATAGGCTTTTGATTTTCTTTGCATACATACACATTTATAGCAGTATACCACAAATGAGCTAACAGTATATCCATTACGCTCGACCGAAGTATTCTTGCAGCATTTCAGATGATTTATTACTTTTCCTAGAATGCAAGCTCCGAAATTGGTGAATAAATAAAAAATAATATGTTTCTGAACGTTTCGTTGAGAGCTCATAACAATTCTGACAAAAGAATGTTTATCATTTTCTATAACAAATTCTAGCCTCGTAAAATTTTTATCCCGAAAGAAAAAATATTTCCAAGATATGTTCCAAAATAAACGGATATTAATAAAAATAACAACAATAACAGTTTGTTTTGGAGAACTCGATTTTACTTAAATAACCTAAATGGCGCATATGCCAAAATATAAGTAGGTATTGAGGCAGGCTATCTTGAAAAAAGTTTAACCAAAAAAATATGGCTTTTTTGGAAAAAAAATCCATTTTTAATTTTTTATGAAAACTGCAGTGGCATCGAATATATATGTATATAATAATTATCAAATGCCAATAAAAATAAGAATTAGAACGAAAAAAATTTTTGATTTATGAGAATCGAAAATTAATGAGCCATTTTTCAAAAGTACATGAAACATGCAACATCGAGGATATGGACAAATAAAAAAATGCGTATGCGCTTATTTTCCGAATATAATAACATACTAAAATTTCAAGTTATTCGGAGAGAAAGGAGCAGTTGGCTTGCATGATTTGAGAAGGACTTGGTCATAAATGGAAGTCATACCTGTTTGTTATGAACTATAATTATACTTGTTCCTCGTAGAAAAAGTAAACTAGTTGGTACAAATTCTAGTTCGTCATGGATACCAGTTCTTTGCAGTGAAAGGAGAATCCAGTCTGTAAAAATACCAGTTCATTAACTAGTATGTGCTTAAGCGACGGCGACATCTGTCTTTGAATTGCCAAAACCAAAACTATGCTTTTAATTGCTTTCGCCACAAATATCGGCTGTGGCGTCGAGTGAATACTAGCGATTCCGGTTCTGGGATCGAGTCTGCTTGGAGGTCGTTAAAATTAAGTATCCCCCTATTGCATTTTGTTATTCTCTATTACGAATCAATGTTGTCGTTTGAAATTCGAAACTTAGCGAAGCTGATTTGTGCTGATTGCTTCTCTAAAGATGACGCTTTAGTTTACTGTAGCAACATTGACAACCTTATGTCTAAGTTAGATCAAGTACATGATCCTACTGATTGGAGATTATTCATAGACTCATCAAAAAACCAGTCTCAAAGCCGTTCTCCTTCATAAAGGACACAAATTACCGTCGATACTATTAGCACATAAATGCAACGTAAAAGAAACTAATGAAGTAATGAAACTTTTATTAGAAAAAATTAAATACATATAAAGATTTTGAGTGGATTATATGTTCCGTTAAATATGAATCACTTGTGGACCCAAACAAATTTTACTACCACCTCGGCATATAAAACTGGGATTGATCAAAAACTTTGGTTTCTTTACCTAAAGAAAAGGTCAGAAAAAAACTTATCAACGATCTGCAATTTTTATCGTGCTTAAACGATATAGAAAAAGAGGCCTCTCATTCATGAAGGTGACCAAACATTTTCTCGGGAATAACAAGTCTCCTAACTATGCCGAAATAGTTAATAGATTACTATTTATGTGTATATCGGATGATCGGCTATAACATGTCATTAAAAATACATTTCCTGCACTCTCATCTAAGTTTATTAATTTAGTCATTTGTTGTTTTGTTAATAATAAACAAGTTTTAGCTAATACGGTATTATTTTTTGCAACTTTACTCAGTAGGTATATGGATTTAAAAAATATACGTTTCATTCTGATGGGAGACAACAAAGTAATTTTTCGGGGCTAGGGTAATTGATTTTTTCTTTATTGTACTTTATTTATTGAAATTCTAGCACACCGTCAACAAGGAATTTTTACATCAAAATAAAATCAGTTCCGGGGTTTCTAATGCTTGATATACGTTTAATGAAATAAGTTATTGCAATAGCATCCATTTAAAAAATTTTAATATTAATGCAAAAAAATTCATTAGCATTATTTCTACGGAATTAATGCACTGAAGTTTTCATTTACATTAAATTTCAAAATTAATTTTTTACATTACATTATTTTTTTACATTAACCTTAAAATGCTATGCATTAAAAAATTACAGCATTTTTCATAACTCGGATATATGGCATAGAAACTTTTCTGAACACCTGGCACTATCCATCAAAAAAGTTGTGAAAATTTCAACAACATATCCGACAGCAAAAAACGAATTAACAAATGAAATCCAACTGCCTGCCGTTAGTTGTTTGGCAATCGATATCATTGGTTTCTGTGACACCCAAAATCGACACTAATTCCGATTCGAACCTAAGACCGATAAAATTGGATTTCAAGACACCAAAGTAATTTTTTGTCGTTTTCAAATCCAATACCGTTAGAAATTGGATTCCATTAGGGCCCGATTAAATTGATAAAATATCCAACCTCGAATGCATACACACCAATGAACATACAAACTTATTTTAATAAAAAGAGCACAATGCGGTTAAGTGGTATGCAGCGGTTTTATATTCATACCAACGTTTTCTTTGCACTCACATTGTGGTTAAATATTAAATTATTATGAGCAGGCTTTTCAACCATTCTTATTGCACACCAATCACAGTTAGTGTATGGCGAATGAAAGTTTGTCGTAGAAATGCGCCCGGCAGATGTGGAGGCAGCAAGCAGAGTTTGAGTTTGACGGCTGTGGGTTCGTATGGTTAATGAATTATGGTCAATAACTGTTTGAATATGCTTTGTAATTAATTTGTGGTTTTACTATGTCACGCAGAGGACAAAGTGTGAAGAATGCACAGCCCAACACACCATACTGAAGTTGTGCCTATGTATTTATACTCAGGCTGCGTATGTTTCGGACAGTAAAAGTTTAATGTTCTTATGTATGTATGTATATTTTGAGTGTATGTAACATAAAAGCAGACCAATAAGTAGCTACTTACATATATTGAAAATGCATATGTACATTAGATCGCACCACCTTACAACAAGCAAACCAGGAAAAAAGGTTCGTCGCACACTCCTGAGACTAAAATATTTTCCAAGACAATTTCAAACAAAAAAATGTATTTTGGTTGAACGTAGTTTTTAAATTTTTCGGTATAACCTCCATTCCGGTGGAAAAAAATTTGTTTTAAGCTAGTTGTGCTGGAATAATCGAAATACTTTCCTAGCAGAAGCTTAATCATTTTGGATGAGCTTTAATCTACTGAAATTAGGGTGGTACGTTAGAGTGATAAGCTTTCAAATCTGGTGGGCCGGTACTAGAGCGCGGTATTTGAGGTCAACGAACTTTGGCACCAAAAAATTTTCTCCTCGAAACCAAAATATCTATACACATATCATACTTTCAAATCCGACTGTAAATGCCGTCAATGTTCGTAAAAAAAAATTAAAATAATAAGTTTGAAATTACCTTGCAAAAAAAACTTTTTTTCTGGCACGGTCTAACATACATATTTCCGGGAGATAGGTACATACAGACATGCTATTTATGTATTTATCTAAAGTAAATGTGCATATTCTTATACGATTTTCTTGCCGTAGGCATTTTTCATTATTATTATTATTATTATTGCTCTTATCCCTGTACTTTGTCGCCAATGCTATCGTAGTTGTCTTTCTTTTATTTATTTACTTAGGTACGTACCGTTAAATTAATCTTTTCTACTCTGCTGCCTACACTTGTTTTGTGATTCTACAAGATATTTCAAGTGTTGTTGATTGTTGTAAAACGGAAAAGGATTTCATATTGTACTTTCTAAAAAGGACTCAACCAGCTGCGACCATCAACAGCAATACCATACTTAACCATACCGCCAAGTCACGCCTCCAACTACAAACCCAATTTTCAGGCACAACAAACGCCGTTTCCCTTATATGATGGCCTACTATTTATGTATGTACGCATGTCAAAGAACAAAGGTATCCACCAGCACTCGACAGTCGACCCCCATATAGTCACAAAGTCACCCCGACTCGCTGCGGTGCGGCTCTTTAGTGTTTCTGACATGGCGCGCGGTATCGTCAAGGAGATGTTGGTTTATTTGCAAATGCTTGTGATCTGGCATGCGGCGACCGGCGTTTGCCATAAAATTCGTTTATTAAAACCTTTGACTGGCAAGAGCATTTGAATACTGGCGTACCACCGACTGGTTTGACTCATGATCAGTGTTGCCAGATTTTTTTCGGCGATCCAGGTCAATGGATAAAAAAAGAGCTAAAAACAGCTCATTAAAAATGTTTCAGGCTAAAAAAGGGCTAATAGTATTCAAATGTTTTATTAGTTTTTTTCACAAAAAACCGCAAAATAGGTACGTATTTCTTACAACCAATAACAAATTAAAGGTTGTTTGCGCGATACAAAAAATAAGGTAGTTTCAATAAAAAACTTTTTGATTCAAAAAGGCAGATTTTTGACAATT